ATAATTAACTAAATTGTGAACAAAATTATCTTTATATTGTTATGATTAACTTAATTCCGAATTAAATTAACTAAATTGTTAACAAAATTATCTTAATTATGAACAAAATTATCTTTATATTGTTAAAATTAACATAATTCCAAACTAAATTAACTTAATTATGATCAGAATTAACTAAATTATATAAACATTTTTGGATTATACTGACTTTAAATATGAACAGAATCAACAATAATATTAACTTTATTTTTAAAAAATTTACATTGCAATAAGGGCTAAAATATCACCGGGTATGTACCCAACATCTTTATTTAAATGATCAATTTTAAAGTCAAGTTTTGTTGACTTTAAAATCCATGTATTACGTTCATTGAAAAATATTGAAATGTTGTCCGAGGTTAGAGTTAACTTAACAATATATTGGCTTGGAAACTAAGTACTGTCAAAATTATTATTTTGAAAACTACATTGATTAAAAATAATTCGAAAATATACTTTTTTCATATTTTCAATGTCTTTCTGTGCATCAATGGACAGACACCTATTTGAAAGGGACTGGTAGCTTTTAAATTTTATGCTCTTGCTCAAAAACTATAAGTCGTAGAGTGATTCTGAGAACACCGTTGGAAAGAGCGTAAAATTCTACGAATACATGGTGTCAACTGTTTGTATCCAACCTTAATGGTTAGAGCACAAGGAGGCCGGGTATCTCAACAAATAACTTCTTTAAGTAATTATAGAAAATTAATTAATAAGTGTATAGAAAAGTTATGATATGGAAAACGTAGAGAATTTAAATCTCTATTATATAAAAATTAAATATATATATAATAGCCCTGGTCCAATTCGTACTGAATTTATGGAGGCAATGAGTACACCTAAGGAGATGTCCGATAAGATTTTTGACGCCTACGGGAAGTTGACCATGGTAGGTCGCGTAGGGGAATCCAATGATGTGGGTGACTCCATTCTATACCTAGCCAGTGACCATGCTGCTTTTGTAACCGGCAGTAATTTGATTGTGGACGGGGGTGTTCTCAAAGCCAATAACACCAACGCCGATGCTCTCGAGGAATTCATGTAAACCATGTTTATCTACATTTCACTCAACATTTTGGATTTTTGGGTAATTTCTAATGTATCCTGTTGAAATTAATAAATCTGTTTGTGTGAAAGATTTAATTTAATTAGCGGTATTTGACTAAAAATATATTTTCAAATGATTTGTAATGTAACTAATATTTTACAAAAATAATTAAATAAATAAATTTATTAACCTTACTTTACTACAATTAAACTTTTATTGTTAATTTTTAAATAACACTTTTTAAATGCCTTAATAATTAATAAAATAAATAGATTCTGAAGATGTCATTTTTATATTATAATTTAAAATTTAACTTATAATAAAATTAAGATACAATCTAAATATATTAAACAATATTAATGTACAGTGCACTTTCCATATAGTAACTCTCCTTATAGTGGACGAAATATATTGATTTGGCGGCCACTGTATACCTATAATGTTAATTGACTCCCTATACAGTGAACTTCCACATAGTGTATAATTCTATATTGTGCATGGATTTTCAACGTTTAAGGAACTGTAACTCTCTATACAGTGTATATAAATAATAATTTCAATCAATAATATAGCGATTACTGTAATATAAACTATAAAATGTTTTAAAATTATATATTTTCACAAAACAGTTTTAAAGCATTTCAATAATAATTGGTTTCTATTGGTTATGTGTTAAAACTAAAATATGAAGAGGCCTATTCTGAAGGGTTCAATGTGATATATTAATGAAATTCATAAAAATAAAATACCATTAATTAAATATTTATTTTAGTTAACCAATAATATGAGTTCTAATTGAAATAATTCTAATAAAATATTTAATTAGTGATTAAACTATTGATTAATATTTATTTCAAATAATGAAATATCAATACTCAATACAGTATTGATTACATTCTGCATTCATGGGCACATTTAGCCTTTCAGAATTTTGCTTTTCATATATTGTGATTAATATATCTCATGAGAAGTATGTCTATTGTTTTAAGTATATAACCGTTATAAGTGAGGCTGATCAATTTCACAAAAATTGCTTTATGATAACCTACCGGCATGCTGGTATAAAGTGAGGCACATATTTACAAATGGTAATAAATAAGGTTAAACCATAGCGATACCATTATTAAATTTAATTGTATTTTTATGTTTTACTAGCTTAAACCTATTTATACAACAAAAATAAACAGTAAAATTAATAAGATATATAGTTTCAGTTTATTTTTAACTCATTTATATAACAAAATATTAATAATTTTTAAAATATTAAAAAATAAATTTAGACCTCACTTATTACGGCATGCCGTTATACCCCGGGGTATAACGGCAGTCTCATCAACCTCACTTTAAACCGGCATGCCGGTGCTTGTGCGGGAATACGGTATT